GGTGCGAGCCAACTACCGGCGCAGCAGAGAAAGAGGTGCACTGAGAAACTTGCGGATGAATAATACGCTGGATGGTTGCTGCGCTGGACAACAAGGCTGCAGGACTGCGGAGGTTTTCGGGTGTCATGAGATTTGGAACTGAGGACCTGTTGGACAACCGTTGGAATCTCCTTTGACGACGTCTCGAAGAGGCGGATTGTCAGGAGGCCTGATTCTTAGCGGTTGTGCAGAGGTTTGTTGTTTTAGTTGTTCAGGCATCGGTGTTGCAGGTGCATTTGACATGGTACAACCTGATGTCCTCTCCGACGGTCAACAAGGATCCATTTGCAATTTCCCGATGTACCGTATGAGCACGGAAAACCCGAAGGCCGGTCGTCCAATTCTGTGGAGTTGTTGAACTTTGTCACCGCCTAATAAGACGTTCTCGTTCAGCTTCGCAACACCTGCGAGGACATTGACGATTTCCTCCTTTGAATGTCGGGATGCTCGGTGGAGAAGTTCTCAGAGATGTACAGCATCGCTGCCGAACTGTGCGCGATCATGCTATGCCAATCCTTGCTTTCGGCACTGAACCCACTATGCTCGCAGGTGAACATAGTATACTCAAACGGACTGGCCCTCTGACAAACCAAACAGTTCTCCAGCCCCCACTGGTCAAAGCAAAGCATCGTGTCTTTGCCCAGCACATAGTCGTTGTTGAAAGAATCTAGCATGGCCAACCAGGCGAACTCGACCTTTTTGAGTCGAGGCAGTCGTTCGTTGAGCGTGGCGAGCACGTCCAGCCAGTTCGGCTCTCCTCGTCGAGATTGTGGACAGAATTGAATAAAGCGGAGGGTCAGCTGCTCAAGCTTCGGGTGTTCCGACACGAAGGAAAGGAAGTCGAAGCGATTGATCTGGATAGAATTCAAGCTGAGCGATGCCAAATGCTCGAGCCGGCTTCTACGGGCCAAATGCTCAAATACGGCCTTCTCGTTGAGTGAGTATTGGATCGGTGACCAGACCTCAAAATGCAACACCAGGGATCGTAGCTGTGGAACTAGGTCGATGAAGCTGGGCAGCCATTGACACGCGCGTTGCGCGTCTTCTGACTCGATGTCATCCAGAATTCCCCGGTACTCAAGCGACAGCTCTAAGTTCTCCAGATTGGCAAGGCACGGCCGCAAAGAACCGACAACAAACCCCGTCAAATCCAGGTTCCCGACGTTGACAGAACTCCTGTAGTGGTCGATTCGATTGAGGTGCGGGCTCACAGAGTGACCGCAAAAGTGTGCTTTGAGAGTAGTAAGGGAAGGTTTTTGCGTTGACATGAGCGCTGACAAAACGGCAGAGAAGGTGCGAGTTAATATGTCGAAGTCGTTCTGCATCCATTGGAGGTCACCTCCTGTGCGAGCTTTGAATGTACGCATGCCCCAGGACGCTTCCGTTTCCTCATGCGGCTCAGGCCATTGACCTATCTGGACAGAGGTGAGGTTTGATAAGTTGTTGAATGCCAAGGCGAGCATGGCGGCGTCGTCCCCTTTCGCAAATTGAATCTGGTCCCGGACATAGCTAAGATAGAGGTCTGGGCTGTGGACTTGTGGTTGCAAGCCGCCTTTGACGGGACTCTGGGTGCCGAATTTGAGGTGGCGGATGGACTCAGAGAGTTGCTTGTGCTTCGAGACGCCCAGAAGGGCGCTCAAACTCTCGCGTGAGGCAACATATCTGTTCTCTTTGACGCGCTGGTTAAACTCATGAAAGGCTTTCTCGGATAGCTCTTTGCAGGTCAAGCGAAGAGCCGACAAGCCTGCTGGATCGAGGAATTGGACGATTTGTTGTACCACCTCCGGAGCCAGAGCAAGCAGAAAAGACATGCCTTGGGTCTTGTGTGCCTGAAAGCGGTCGACTCTGATTTGCTTGGAGCGATGTGCTCGCTGATATTCTAAGAAGGGGTTGTTGGCCATGATGAGATGGATAAACAGGGAAGCATTGAGAGACCTGCGGATTTGTTAGCGGCATGCTGACCAGCTGGGAACTGACTAGGATTTCGCGTGAGAGCATTCTTACGACGTACTACGGTCAAGCAGTCCGGGTCCGCGAGAGGAGCAGCAGGCACAAGCGGAGTGCTGTGGCAGACTTTTGCCACGATCCCGTCTCCCCTCGCATGCAGTGCCTTCACATTTCTCGATCCGGACGCGTTTTGATGGGTTTGCTGAGCGCTATCTGTCCTATTACTCTACGAGCTATAAGTCGTCGTGTGCCTGAGCAGTGTCCCGCTCATTGGCGGTTCGACAGCGAGGCACATCATCTCTCGTCTTTTCCTGGCGATGGCGATTTTGCAAGATATACCGGGGGACTAGCTCCTCTCATAATAGCCTAACACCGCTTAGAGTCAATCCCTTCCCGCAGAACTAAGTGCAAGCCTCGGACCCTGAGCTCCGAACGAGTGTGATTGGCTGAGACCTTACGCTAGCGGAGTAGGGAAACTGTCCGTCGGACTTGGGCAGACCGCAAAGGGCAAGCAAATACGTGGTAACACACGAGCGCGGCCTGCATCGCTGATCGTGGATAATAAGTAACTTTGTCACATCTAGACCTTTAAGGAGCAGTCTCCTGTGGACAGTGCCAATTGTCTTGTTGACAGTTTTCGTGTTGCATCTGATCGACGCCAGAACAACACCATGTCTGCCGGCTGAAGAGCGAATCTCATACGCCGAGGCGTTGGTTTTCGAATTCACTTGACGACCTCTCTTTTAACAGACTGCACACACGGCAAGCCGAACAAACTCATGCATCGCTGTTGTTAAAGAAAGAGTCAGCCGGCGAAAGACACAGTCGGCCTTAGCTGTCAGAATACCACAAGTGTAAGTGTACCCTCTATCTGATATGCATCTCAGGGCAGCTCCCCGATATGCTTACTCAACAGAAGCGCCGAAACCAGGGCTTTCGGTCTCCAGACGGACACGATGCATTGAGGATCTGGTCCCGGCCTAGATCCGGTTCACCCAGCACACTCACAGTTGCAGCTGGCAGCAACTCGGCTGTTCTGTGGCTTCACCAATGTGTTTGCTTCGCAGCTTTGGCCGCACGATCTATCGCCGATCGCACTTCTTGTCAGGGATGCACCGAAGACAGACTGCCAAGCAGCCTGCAATCGAGATGCACGAAGCCAGAGCGCTAGCCGCCGATCGTTCGCCGAGCGGGCTCGTCACAAGATGGAATTGACTTCGCGCCTGTGGATGAAGCTGCCCTACCCAGAGCAGCTTTCAAGATTCTCCAAAGAAAAAAAACGGAGCACCTGCCGTTTCACTCTTTGCTTTGATCTTTCATTGTCGGCTCGCTCTAAAGATGTCAGCTCGTAGTCTCGCACCCGCCCGTCGCACTCGTCGAGTTCGGGTACCCACGTGGTGTACTAACTATCATTTCAACGGAGGGTACGGCTAGTCCGCAACCGCGGTCGATGTATAAACTAGACATAGCCTGCACGAATGAACATATTCTCTACCCACGGGTGCAACAGTCTGCTTCTTTTACGTTGTTGCAAGTGCAAAGTCAGAGTCGTTGTGAGCTGTATCGGTATGGATATCGCAGGATTGAACGAAGAAGCACTTACGGTGGTGGGGTCGAACAGTCATCTGCGAACTGTACCGAAAGCCCGAAGTCAAATTCGACAAAGCATTAAACGTTGGAAGAATGGCCGTGGTAGGCTCGAGTTAATGTGGTCCCGGCTGGCCATGTGTGCTGTCCCGCTACCCCGCAGACCGTCGTCATTTCTTGGATGAGAACAGCGTGTTTACTTTGAAGGGTACATTGTACTTCCACACTCCACCGGGCATTCGAATTCGATTTCCGAGTACATTTTCTGGGGGACCTAGAAAGACAGACGAGATGCGCTTCGCTGGAATCACTGCTGCTTTGGCGCTCCTCGCCACTGCCGTCACGGCCCTCGACAAGCCCCTCGACATTAAGGTCGACAAGGCGGTGGACTGCAAGAGGAAGACTCAGAGGGGTATGGCTTTGTCTTTGCACGTTCCTCTTCTTCCAGATACCCTCGAAAGCGGGTTGCTTTAGTCTTACTTTTGTTCTGAACAGTACTAACTCTCTTCAAGGTGACAAGGTCGACGTCCACTACCGCGGTACCCTCGCCAGTGACGGCAGCGAGTTCGACGCTTCCTACAACAGAGGTCAGCCTCTGACCTTCCACGTTGGAAAGGGCCAAGTCATCAAGGGGTGGGATGAGGGACTGTTGGACATGTGCATCGGCGAAAAGAGGACCTTGACTATCCAGCCAGAGTGGGCATACGGTGACAGGGCGATGGGACCAATTCCTGCTGGCAGCACGTTGGGTAAGTGGACCTTGCTTCGTCCGGATGTGTGCGGAAAGAGCGTACTCTTGGATGAAGTGGCAGTGTGGGTTACGCTGACGTTTGTGCAGTCTTCGAGACGGAGCTCATGGGCATCCCAAGTGCGAAAAAGGATGAGCTTTAGATGGGGGGGGGGGGCGTCTTTTCGCATAGAACGGTTACTCGGACATCAAAAGCAACCACGAAAATGCAAATCAGTTTTACGACTCGGCAGGCCTCCTGTTTCAGTGTGCTTTGCTTTGTGGCTTGCGGTACTAGACAATTAGCACAAGCGCAACCATGGCTCCTTTGACGCGGAGCATGATGTTCCTCACAGCTAGAGACCCCTGTGAGGATGGTATGAGATCCCATTGCGGGCTTGCTGCTCATACAAGTCACCGAGTACCAGGCGCGCCCGCGAATCACTGTAGGCGCAAGCTGCTAATGGAACTTGAGTGAAAAAGGATGGTTGATTCACGGTACGCTAAGTTCAGCCCCACAGATCAGGAGTGTCCGGAGGCCGCGCCGAAGGCGCCGGCGCCCACATCTTTGGAAATCCATCGTACGAACGGACCACAAAAAGAACGCCTTGCGCAAGGCTGGGAATCTGCAAATTCAAGGAATCATAGAACCATTCTCAAATAATATGAATTAAAATGCTTACATGATCAATATCAGCGAGCCCTGCTGGCGCAATCGGTAGCGCGCAAGACTTCTACGTAAATTGGAGTTAATCTTGAGGTTGCAAGTTCGAGCCTTGCGTAGGGTGCTCTTTTTGTGATTAGTCCGCACTATGGGTATTCAAAGATGATTTGAGTGCCCCATTTTTTTTTTTGCAAAACCGGCCGATGTTTTGTGGGCCAAGAAAAGGAAATCTGGAGCGCGGCTTTCCGCGCTCTAACCGCCGCCAAGTAAGTTGCATAAGCCTTTTATGTCTTCCATCGGCGACTACTCGTCTCAGTGTTGATCTATCGTTTACTCATATACTCGATATGTTTCTTCTTGACGCTGACTTGGCAGTGCAGCACCATATAGCGTACTGACGCTCCTATGATCAGAACAAATGTCTCTGGGCCCCAGCTTGGCTACATTCATGGATCCAATACTCTCGATAGGCCAGCAGGCGGTCCGACTGCCGTCTAAATAAATACCTGTCTGTCTTGGTGCAGCAAAGGGCGCTGCTACACACGCTCAGCGCCGATCACCGCTCAGAGCAGGATAAGCACGCTTCTATTACCGACCAGCCTGAGATACCCAGACGCTCCAACAAGGATCAGCACACGTAAGCAAATCACGGCTCTGGGCAAAACGAGTATCCTTTCGCGGGTTGCGGCTCGGTTCTCAACCAGCACACGTACGCCAATGTCGACTGTCGGCAAGCTGCACTGCCAGTGCTGGCAGCTCATGCCGGTATCGCGAGCTTTTCGACACCGCGGTGTTAGACTTCAGCAAGGATCTGGGAGCGCGGGTAGGAGCAATGTTGTCAGGTGGTAAAACGATCGCTCAAGCGAAGCGGACATGGAAAAGTATATGCGGAGGTCTGCGACAAGCGGGTGTTTGACAGCTGCGTGTAGGGCGGCACTCAGCGAGCAATTCGATCCTGGAGACTGGGGCTCAGAGGTCGGTGAGCTAAGACGGGTGCACCAACAGACGAAGAAGGTCGGCGAAACATGTGAGAACGGAGGTGGAAGGCTGACTAGATCGGTTGGAAAGAACCAAGTGTGGCTGGGCCCGGAAGAGCCTGGGTATCACCCCTAACGAGTGGAACGCAGTCGGATGGAATCATTGTATCAAGCTGGTCGGTAGTGGTGCTATTGACCGTCTGAGTCGAGCTTTCAGAGATGTCGCGAGCCGCTCGAACAAAAGAAAGAGCAGGACGAAGCTTTGACTGACTTGAAAAGAAGTACAAAGATGCTCCGTATACGACGCAAAATACCTGTGGTCAGGTAGTCTCTGCTTCGAACAGAGCAGGTGGATGGCGAGATTCTTGAGTAGTGCACCAGAAATGGAGCGAGCGAAGACATGGCATACCCTCAAGACGCGGATAAACACGTCCCTTTCTGGATTGCGTAAGCTTCGAAACGCATCGTTAGGACATCGACGGCTGCGTTTAATCGGGAAATAGACTTCCATTGAACATCCAGTCATCGAACATCCACTCGGACGAGCCAGTGAACTCGAACATGCCGAGAGCGTGATCGGTGCCGGACACCACCAGAGGCTGTGGTTGTCGTTAGCAACGGCTGGGGTCAGAGCGTGACAAAGAAATACAACATGAAAGGGGAGTTGTTACCATTGCATCAGAGAAGTTCGGGAATCCGGCGTCAGGTTGAGGGTTCTCACCACCGCTTAATTTTCCAGTTGCGTCTGCTGCTATCCCAGTACCAGCTTCCTATGTCGAGTCGCCCAGTCAGTGCTTGCCCAACCCGTCGATGTCGGTTTCCACCGGTCATATCATGGAATGACTCACCCTTACAGATCCCTCCGTTCTGATCTGGGCTAAGAATTCGGGGTCTTGGTTGTCCAGTATGGCGTTGCAAATTCTTACCATCCTTTCGATCCCCGGGTTGCTCTTTGGCATACCCTCTTCTTCACCACTCTCGGAAAGGTCTCCCTACTTCGCAGGAGGTCGTAAAGCGCGAAACCGTACAGAATTGTCGGGTGTAGCAGCCCTAATCTGCGCATCTTGAGTTCCACTATATCGAACAGCGTCCACAACGTTTCCATCCGTGATGCGGCAGTGTCGTTGGAAGAGTCGCAAGACGTTTGCGCAACGTAACATGTCAAAAGTGAAATACGAAGGGCAGTATTCTGGAGCAAAATCGGCATCAGGTTGCCGAAGCTAGCAAGATGGGTTAGTGTGTGCAGCAAGGAGCGGGCGGAGGAGAAAAAGCGGCGCGAGACATGGTTAAAATCGTGCTTGTGGAGGCCTGCCGGAAAGCGGTGGTATGGAGGGTTAGAAGGAATTGCTGCAGTTGGATGTGAAGGAGTGCCACCGCAATCTGCTCTGTGCTTTCGGAAAGACGGTGATTGTGTCGGCCGTTCAAATGCTTGCTCCACATTGGTAAAGACGATATTTGGTTGTCGAGCTCATATGCAAGATCCAGAACTGTGGAGTAGGGAACAAGTCGTCTTGGTTCGTTGAGGATATTGAGTACATCCGTCCTTAGCTGTAGGCTTTGTGCGGATAGGTGTAAATGAGAACTTCGTGTGAATTCCTCAACCGGTCTCGATGGAGGTAAGACGGCCGTTAACTTGTCGAACTCCTCGTCGTCAAGATTGGAGGGCGTTCCACAATCAGCAACGGTAATCGGAACAAGTAGCGGCATGCCCCTATCAATCGAGGCCTGCATGTTGAGCTCGACAATCGTGGCCCAGATGCGACGACGCATCTCTTGGTCAAATGCGCTCGTCCCTTTGGCTAAGAGGGCCGGGTCCCTGTGAAGACCATGCGACATGGCCCATGTCAACAAGATGCATGTCTCATTCCAGATGCGCTTGGACTTGATTGAGTTGGTCATCTTCGCGACCATCAGCAGGCACCGGATCTGATACGTCTCCATCGTAACATGTTTATGGCTCTGTCCTTCGAGCCATGTTTCGCAGATATTCACGATCTTGCTGGCACGCTCTCGCGCAGCGGAGCTGTTCGAGATGTATGTCTGCCTTGGTTCGGGGCCTAAACATTGCACGCAAGCTATGATGAGTGCAACGATGGCAACGAAGTGTGGCCGATTAGCGACAGGCTTCTGCCAGAACATCTCGTAGTCCTTGCGGAACGAAGGAATGTGAAGGATTCTGTATGTTGACTCGTATTGTTCAATGTAGAGGTCAACAAGCGGGTCCGTCGCAGTACGTTCCGGGACGAATCGCAACATCTCCTCTAAACTGCCCACAATCGGAGCGCCCGTCTTCTGGAGCTGCTTGTTTCGCTCTTTCAACCCTTCCATTGCCGAACGGATGCGGTGGAATGACGAAGCCTGCGAAATCGCAGTGCGAGCAAACTGGACTAGGTCGAAAATCTAGGAAGTCAGCACAGAAAGGACCAAGCATGATGGCCCGTCTACACGATCCCTCTTACAATGTCTGGTCCACGATGGTTCGATGACTACAGTACCGGCAAGCGCTTGGTGGAAGAAGCCACGGGAATGAAGTGCAGGAGACATGACTTACATGGGCGATCGAGCTTGCAGGGTCAGTTGCGCCATAGAACTGGGTCTTGAAAGATCTGCCCTTGAAGACCATAGTCTCTCTTCCTGTGGGCTCGCGCTGCTCTCCATTGACAGCAGAGATGGCACCCGACTCCGGCTTGAGGATCTGAATGGTGGCACGGTTTCCGGTCGAGGCTCCCTGAACGGCTTCGAGGCTTGCAATTTTCCTCTCTTGCTGCAAGAGCCGATCGAACATGTCACTCCAGACATCCTTGCTTATGGTGATTGTCCCTTCAACTGAAGCGACCGACGATGCTGCGTGCCCGTTCTGCTGACGGATAGGCACTGTAGATGCACAGAGGTTGTCTTCCGGATATTCATCGTAGCTGCACGAATCGGCTTTGCCAGCCTTCTCGCATCTGGTGCAAGCGGGCAGTGTCCTATCGCATTGCACTTTGCGCCGTCTGCACTCGATGCAGGAGAGGACTTTGCGCCTCCGCTTGCGCTCTGGCCCGGTTGGCGGCGCGGGCGACTCATCGGACACGTTCGATGGCTGCATACGGCCGGACTGGTACGGACATCAAACGCTGTCCGCGCACTCTGTCATGAGACATTCAGTGCTGTTGGTTCTATTAGATAAGAATGTGTGGGCAGGATGGAATTGGGACGGAAGGCAATCAAGAAGTTCGGCGAGGCGTCGCGCTTGTGACACGAACAGCTTTCGTAACACGATTCGCATGCGACGACTTCTCGCGCACGCCAAGAACCAGAACCAGAACCAGAACCAGAACCAGAACCACAACAAGAAAGAACAGGAACGCGTCTGACAGTGCTCTCGTCGCCTCAACGGGCTTCGGGTGAGCAGAGCAGAGCAGAGCAGAGCAGAGCAGAGCAGAGCAGAGCAGAGCAGAGCAGAGCAGAGCAGAGCAGAGCAGAGCACAGCCGTGCGGCTCGCAATATGCACCTTCGGTAAGGCAAGCCAGAGACCCGGCGGCGCTTGGTTGCCGTACTGTACTTCTCGTTATATAGGCCAAGGAACGCGACGCGACAGCCACGTACTTGGCAAGTACCTCAGGGTCCTGCGTCCTGCGTCCTGTGTCCTGAGCCCTGTGGAGTATCGGCAGCATCGGCGTTGTACTAACCGCATATGGGCAATGTTTGCGGTTATCTCGACTGTCCGTCTCCAAAAGTTGAAGGGCTGCGGCACCATGAGGGGCATCTCGTGCATGTAGCCTATCGCACCCATTGAGCCCGCCCATTGAGCCCTCACAGCCGGCTGCATATATCTGTACGAGGTAGGATCGCTTCCTATAACTTTCTGTTCCTCCATCACTATCCTCCTCCCCCCACTCCTCTACCAAAGACTCCTTTTCCTCTTCGCGCATCTCTCATTGCCAGCTTGAGAGCTGTTCCCAGAGCTATCCATACTCTTTCTCCCTTAGTCCTCATACATCCATTGCAACCATGGTCCTTGAAAGACTGAAGCAGATGTCGGCCCAGATCACGGGCCAGGCCCCTCCACCTCACCCATTCGACCCTCTTTCCTCCAAAGAAATCGCGGCCGCAGCAGCTATCGTAAACCAAGAGTATGCAGGCGTCTTCTTCAACACCATCACGC